CGGGGAGACCGGAGACCGGGAGTGAGGAGGGTGGGCCGTGAGGCCCACGAGGGCCTCTGAGCAGCCGCCAGCATGACCGCCCCTGACTCGGGGCCTCCATGGGCTCCTCTCCTCATCACCGCTGTGGTGGTGCTGGGAAAATGCATTTAAAGGTCTTCCCTTATTTGGAGTCACCAGGTCCTTCTCTTTTCAGGACCCCTATTCCTTCGCAACTTCATGCACTTCCAGGGGCCCCGTCACAGGGGCTCCCCAGTCCTTCCCAGGGCCAGCCCCGGACGGTGGCTCCAGCGGGCAGATCCTCAGTGTCCTGGACCCACCTGTCCTGGGCGCCTGCTGGTCCCGCCATGGTGACGGCGACAGTGACATTCGCTCTGAGCCCATGCTCTCAGCCAGCACTCTTCAGAGAGCTCTACACATTTAACGGGTTTAATCGGATTTGTTTTTCATAGGTATTTACCCGTATTATTTTATCCCCATTTTACAGACGGGGTCACCTTGCAAAAAGGGGAGGGAAAGGCAATCGGTGTGTTAGAAACGCTGCCGTAGGACCTTCAGCCACCAAGGAGGGGCGGACGCCGGTGCACGAGGACGCCGATCCTGGTGGCGTGACTGTCATCACCGTCCAGACGACAGGGACTGTTTCACTCCAACCTGAACTGCAGTCTCAGGACAGGGCCGTGCCGGCCACTGGCGGGTCCTTGCATGTGAGGCTCCCGGCTGCTTGTGACGGGGTGAGCTCTGTGGACACTGCCGCGTACAGAGAATGCAGACGTTGTCCCAGTCCTCGCGAACCCCAAAATGAAGGTGACAGATACACCCAGCGCGCCCATGTTACAGATGGGACAAACATCGCTTGACCCACAGCAGCAAAGCGGCCGGCCGCCGAGTCTCACGTGGGAGCCCAGCTCTCGCCCAGCTCTGCCAGTGGCCCTCCTGGGCCTGCCTGGTTTGCGATGCCACAGGCGAGTCCCACGNATGCCACAGGCGAGTCCCACATGCCGGCCTCCGGCCACGAGGAGCAGCATCGATCCCACGTTGCAACAGAGAATCGCCACCCCGGCTGGCGGGGGGCAGCGAACCTGCGGGCTTCCCCGGGTCTGTTTCCTTCCACTTTTCCTGATTCGCTTCACTTGACAGAGTCCAGTCTTTTTTTCTTCTAGAGTCAGCAGGTCCTAGGCTGGATCGGTGAGGGGGTGTTTACGGTTCGAGGCCCCGCTGGCGGGACAGCTAAGGGCGCTGCTCACGATCCCGCTTCTGGGCCCGAGTGGGAGGTTTCCGGCTTCCGGGCTGCAGGGCCGCCCCACGGCGGGCGGCGGATGGGAAGCGCCGCCCTGTTCCCTCTTCACCCCAACATGGTCAGTGCCCACGGGTATCTTCCCACCGTGGGGGGTATTAGGTTCCTAACCTGAGGCTCACGAGGAGCTTCGCGTTTGCGGTGCTATCTTCCAGGCACTTCCTGCCCAGTCTCTTCCTGAAGTCACCCCGGGGTCCCCGCTCCTGCAAGCTCCTCGGCTCTCTCCTCCGGCCTCCTCCGCTCTGCCTCCTCTCGCGGCCACGGCCGCGTAACAGCGGGAGCGACAGGGGGTCGAGCGAGCCGGGCTCTGGGGAGACGCACAGGCCCTGCGTGCGCTCAGGGTCCACGCAAACTGCCGTTCACTCGGCTCTCTGGGTCTTAACTGAATACTTGTAACTTCTGCGAGGACAGGGGCGGCGCGAGGCTTACCATCTGCCCAGAACGGCGAATTATTTGAAAATCGCCTGCTCCTGTGTTCGTTCTCGGGAGCAAATATGAGAATCTCGGGAACTGAAACACGGCGCCCGGCTGTGCCGTGAGCTGGGCATTGGGTGGTCCTTTAGCAGACACGTTTCCTCCAGTTTTCCACAGTCGCCAACATTCCCTATTGTGTTGTACAAGTCACTCAATTTTTAAGAATGTTCCGCTCTGTTTCGTTGCTTGTTTTGCTCACTAGGTTCCACATGTAAGTGAGATCACACGGTGTTTGTCTTTCTCTGTCTGACTTATTCCGCGCAGCACAGGACGCTCTAGGTCCGTCCATGTTGATGCAAAGGGTCGGATTCCCTTCTTTTCCACGGCTGAGCAGTGCTCCCCGGTGCAGATGTGCCGCAGCTTTTCTATCCACTCGCCTCCTGAAGGACATTGGGCTGCTCCCGTACCTTGGCCGTTGTGACTAATCCCGTGGTTAACAAGGGAGTACACGCTGATGTCTGAGTTATGGTTCTGGATTTCCTCAGATAGATGCTCAGAACTGGACTCGCTGCGTCATGAGAAAGATGTTTTCAATCTTGAGGGGAACCTCCATCCTGTTTTCCGTGGAAGCTGCGCCAGTTTGTAAACCAGGCACAGGGAACAGAGTCGATGACACTGTGACAGGCCTGACGGTGCCGGCGGAATGGGACTTGTGGGACACACGGGTGTCTAGTCACTGTGCCGTGCTGTGCGCCTGAAACTAATACAGTACCAAGTGCCAGATAATTAAAAAATAAAAATGTAATAAAAGAAGAAGGAAGAGTGTTCCACGCGCTTGTCAGCTTCCTTCACGGACAAGTCTTTGCTCTAATTACTGTCCGAGGCCGAGTCCAGCGCTTGGCAAATGGGCAGAACCTCCCATGACACCGGGAACGACGCACCGAGGCCCTGAAGCAGCCGGCGGCCCCTTCGGGGGCGGCTCTGGCGGGAGGGCCGGCCTGTGCCCTGGGATCACGGGTCTTAGGGAAAGGGGTAAGAGACTCACGAACTATGGTAAACGGCACAGACGTACACATTTCCCCTGCAAAAAACTCACCAGATGCGCACGCCTAAGGAGCAGAGAAAAGAAAACAGTGAGCAGGGGGGAAATCTGCTCCAGACTCAGAGAGCCGCGTGCTACACAAATGAATGAAATCGAGACAAACAGCAAGAAAACAAAAACATTAATTAAAGCTTGACTTCACCTGCACCGAGGGAGGCATGTGGTAGGAGCATACTAATGCCATGCAAAGCAGTTTTCAAAAACGGACACACAGAAACAATCAATAAACTGCTTCCCCAACTAAAAGTGAAGAGACACAGGTGCGCATCTCAGGTGAGAACCCAAGTTTTTCAAAACACCATGGAGATGAACAGCTTCCTTGATTTTCAACCCTTCAACTTCGAGCTATTTATTTACTCAGCACAGTGAGTTCAGTAAACACACGGCTATAGCCAAATGCTGAGAAATCGGCCGGCCGCCCTGTGCTTTACGGAGTGTTTATCCCAGAGTCGCGAGGGGGTAGGGTGGACTGTCTCAGGCGAGGCCTCATGTGGGGAGGGTCCAGGTGCATGAAAAGCTCAGGGAAGAGCAGGTGGGCGCAGAGCTGGGGCTCCCTGCAGGTTCTGACCAGAGGAGGAGAGAATCAGCAGCTCTGCAGGAGATGGCTACGTGTGCAAACGCCCATGACGGGGGACTCGATGAAGGCAAGGAGTTCAGGGTCATAAGGTAGGGCATTACCAGGCTCACCGGGGAGCACGAGTTTACATTTAAAAACACAGGAAGATCCCAGCTGGTGTGACCCGGTTGGCTGAGCGTCGTCGCAGGCACCAGGAGGTCGCCGGTTCAATTCCCGGTCAGGGCACATCCGGGTTGTGGGCTCGGTCCCCAGCAGGGGGCGTGCAGGAGGCCGCCGATCCACGACTCTCATCATTAATGTTTCTCTCCCCCTCTCCCTTCCTCTCTCTGAAACCAATAAAAATATATTTAAAAAAAATAGGGAGATGGAATAGCAGGATGTTTAGAATGAGTTTGCACTGTGAACGGCCCAGGTCAAGGAGGCAGCAACATCCTGTCACATGAGGGTCACAGCTATGGACTTGGAGTTGGTCTGCTTGAGTTTAAGTCTTATCGGTTCTGCCACTGACTTGCTTGGCGTCCTTGGCGGAGTTTCTTAGCTCCCTCACGCTCCAGTAATAATATTAATAGTGATAGTCATAAGAGTAACAACAGATAGTAAATACGTCTAGTGGTCATGAGACAATGAGGTGAGAGAAGGATCCACATACACTGGGATGGCCACGGCCACCCCGAATCGTGTAACAGTTCTGAACAGTTTGCTAACTCAAGCTGTTAGTCTGTCCAGCTACAGGACTCAGCTCACCGAGCAGGAAGGGGCAGTGACTGTCGGTCTCGCTCAGGACTGTACCCCAGTTCCTACCACAGAGCTGCTCCCCGCAAGGCGGGTCCTCGGTGACGTTATGTGAGTGAATAAGTGCTTGAGTCAAGGCAGTGGTGGTTCAAACCTCATTTATGTTGTAAAGGTGCAAATCTACTCCAGGCATCCCTCCTGGACTTGACATTCTGAATTACAGAGCAGGTCAACTAGGCACATTCCCGGCAAACCCAGAGAGATGCCCACCCCGGCGGCCCGGAGGCCGGTCCTCTGTCATGCAGGTGGACACCGCGTCACAGACGCTGCCGATGGTCTCAAACCTTCCAGAAACCGAGAAAGCCTCCAACAGCACCTTGGAGCTTTCTAAAGCCCCGTCCCGTAGCTGACCACAAGTACAGGGTGAGCCCTGCTGTCTTATGCATTCTGGCTCCTGCTAGTGTATTGAACTGAAACCCAGAGAGAGTCGCTATCCAACGATGGAATTATACCAACAAAGACAGACAGAGCTCCCACAGCGACTTCGGTCCACGGTGCCAACGCCCGTGACACCCTCAACCGTATCGTCGGGTTTACTGCTCAGTATCTCCGTGCAGCTGAGCACTGGGATGAGCGAAAATAACAACTTTCACACCAGACAATGGCTCACACAACTCTGAAAGGACCAGAAACATCAGCGCCAGCTTCGGACACCACCCCGTGGAAAGAGCGGCTAAGAGCCATCAGCGAGCGCACTCAGCAGCTGTCCCGGTCCCCGCGCGCAGAGTTGGATCACCGCGTCTGAAGTGAGGGCCCCGCTTGAGTAAGTGTGAAATATGGTGGCATCTTTTAAATCAGAAAGTTTAAAAATGGCACGCTACCTGCAAGGCCCACCACGAACGACTGCAGGACGAGCAGTTCCCATGGCAACCTCATCTTCAGTCTCGAGGTCAAAGGAGCCTCGCGTCCAGTAACAAGCGGACAGGACAGGGCAGCTGCTGCTTTTAAGTTTCCTTCAACCTGTAACCTGCGGGAGAGAGGAGACACTGCCGTGAGACTCGGGAACACTTCCTGTGCCCTCTGCAAACTGCTGTTTACTTGCATGCAAATAAGGTTCTACTGGGAAGACAGGAGGTGTTAAATTATACACAGGAAGCTGGTGTCGCTCCCTTTGTTTCTGCCAAACAATATGAAGGTGGCGACTGGAGACGGCTCCCCAGGAAGAACAGGCCTGAACCAACTGGAAGGCAGGGGAATCGACTATTTTTTACAGGGTCCTTCCCATCCCTTAGTCTCCAGTCCTGAGTCTTAATTATTTTCTAACTAATGCACCCAGGCCATTGAGTACAGAGGGCCTGCCACTGAACAGGCAGGGTCATCCGGGGTGGGCTGGGGGAACCCCAGGGTTTAGAACGGAGTCATGTGTGGGGAAATTATAGGTCAGGTCAAACCTTTCCCACGTTCCACGTTTTGTCCCTAAAATGCAACAGAAACTGGAGAGAAATTCTACCCCCTCTGAGCAGCTGTCTGCTAGGTTTTTTGGACAAATAATTCTCCCATTTGCCAGGGATCTTAAAACAGGAGATGTCAGCAGACAAGGCAGGCTGCCGGTTCTGTGAACCTACAGTGACGGAGCAGGTCGGCGACTGAGTGAAGCAGGTGGGGGCACAGGCAGGTCCTGTCTGAGGGCAGGTGCCCCTCCACTCAGGCTCCTGGCCAGCAGGTGGGCACAGGCCCAGGGCTGAAGCACTGCCCATGACTTTCCAAAGATAAGATGAACATATTTTTGTATTTTGAAAATATCCCAAGATTTAAATGTTAGAATCAGATCAAATATTTTTTGAACACTGTGTGAGCCAAGTGAAGCCCAGGTCCTCAGGGTCCAAAGGACTGCNCTGCCCATGACTTTCCAAAGATAAGATGAACATATTTTTGTATTTTGAAAATATCCCAAGATTTAAATGTTAGAATCAGATCAAATATTTTTTGAACACTGTGTGAGCGAAGTGAAGCTACAGGTCCTCAGGGTCCAAAGGACTGGNCAAATATTTTTTGAACACTGTGTGAGCCAAGTGAAGCCCAGGTCCTCAGGGTCCAAAGGACTGCGACAGGATCTTAGCTAAACAGAGCTCACTGCGCCTGCCCTGCCCCCCCCCCAGGCGTCTAGGGAGCACCTTTGCTTGTGGGACACTCAGGGAGGCCCTGGGCCTGCCCAGAGGGGGACCCCAGCTCTGCCCTCAAGGACCTCCTTGTCCAGGGGGCAGTGACCCTCCACTTCATGCTCAATGTGGAGGAGGGGCCTTCCCGGCCGGGACCCTTGATGGAGCAGATGAGCTCCCACGGGGGCTGAAGGAAGAACGGGCAGGGTGCCTGTTACTCATCAGCTAATCAAATCGACGAGAAACCCAGGGAGCCGGACACTCGAGCTCTCCTTACAGTCGTGGCTGCAGCCAGTCCTGCGGGCCTGGGTGGCAGCCCCCCGGCTCCCTCTCCTGGGGGTTACTCGTGGCTGAGTGAACGGAACCTCTCTGAAGGCTGCCCGGTGCCCTCAGATGCACGGTCTGGCTGTTCATTACGCAGCCCCTGTGGCCCGGGGCTCATCTCACCCCCGCTGAGGACGCCACTGCGAGCGAACGCGGGCTCGCCGGAGACCACGGACCCAGCGTGCCGACCCAGGGCTCGGCGCTGATTTATCCGGTGTGGGCCCCGGAGCCTCTGCGTTTACCAGGCAGCCAACAGGAAGCCGACAGGTCCCCTGTGTGAGGACCAGGGGGACTCGGCGGCCAGCGGCTGGGAGCGGACAGTGTCTCTGCCGAGGGTGTTCCCGGCCCTCCTGACATGCAGGCGGTGAGGCCCGCGCAGACGGAAAGGATGTGCTGGTCAAAGCAATCTGTTAACGTCCTCAGCAAATGATCAGGGTATTAATAATTAATCCTGCGAGGGAAATGTCATCTCGGACCCCGGGATTGATCTACAATAAGTCATTTCTCGAAGCAATTAAAATTAGCTTAGGGACGGATCCAATTACACAACCAAGATTTAATCCATGATACGATGCTACATACGGTGTGTTCCTGTTAGTAGCGGTGGGTTTTTAGGATGAAGGAAGCTAAGGGCCCCGCGGCCTTTATTTACATCCGGGTGGGGGAGGCTCCCCTTCACCAGTCGGAAGGAGCAGGGCCCTGGCGGTCATCGGTCTAGCGGGCTGGGGGGCAGGGCTGCAGGCTGCTGCAGGGAGCTGGAGATTGATGAGTCTCGTGTGGGATTGTGGGGCAGGATGCGAAGTTTCATAATTTCGGTTTCTCTGCCAGGGCCAGAAGGAGAGCTGCGGATGAGCCTAGAGTTATGGCCGCAACCGGTCTCCCCTGCGGCTCGAGGCTCCGGCTTCATCCCAAGGTGGATGGAGCAGAAGGGAGCGTGCTCAGCACTAATCCGGGACCTTGCCCGGGAATTAGACCCGTAAATCCTGGGAGGTGGGACTGGGTTGCTTTGCCTGGCTGAGTCAGAAGATGGATAACCGAGAATTCTCAGTATATCTTCTCTCACTGCGTCTCAGAGCAAAATTCCTGCAGCCTCCAACCTTCAAACGATGCTGATACCGACAGTCAGGCTCAGGACCCCCCGTGAAGTGCTGAGGACAAGCCTGATTCTCCCCACATGTCCCGTTTCCCGAATCTACTTCAGGGTCTGGTCCTGTGATTGTCGGTTTCAGCTGCTGCTTGATTAAAATTCTGCGGGCACCGAAACAGTCTAATTCAGCTCAACAGGGGAGTAGGTGAACTTCCTGTGTGGCAGGGGCGGTGCCCGGGCTGGGTGTGCACAGGTAACAAGCTCACTGTTCACCCGGCAGGGGGGGCGGCCACACCTGTCCCCCCACCCAAGGCAGTGCAGGTAGAGAGTTTAGGGAGCACCAGGTCTGAGCACAGCCAAGAGCATCCCCTGCTGAGCCAAGGTGGGGTGGGCAGGCCGGGGGCCGCGAGAACGCTCTGCGAAGGACTGACAGTTTAAGCTGAGCCCTGAAGGACAGACGAGAGAGGGGACAGCAAACAGGCAGGCGGCTGAGAACTTTGGGTGTTCAAGCTACTGCAACACAGGTCACGAAAGAGCCACGTCCGCCCAGCCAGGCCGCTGATCTGACCCTCGTCTGACCCTGAGCCTCCCGCCTCCAGCTGTGGGGCACATCTGTGAGAAGACGGCGCCGATGCCAACCCGCCAGGCTCACCGAAGGATTGGGGAGAGCACACCGAAGACGTGAGCCCGGCCCTCGCCGAGGACAGCACAGCACAGCCAGGTCAGGGGCGGGTCCCCAGCCAGCCCCACATGTCTGTTAAAGAGCTTGGACTTGACTCTGAAGGCCAGGCGTGGGTGGTTCAGCGTGGGAAGGACACGAGTGTGCTGGGAAGGAGAATGACACGCGTTTTGAAAGCAAATATCGGTCATTAGCGTAGTGAGGCCTCACACTCAAACCCTCCCAGACAGAGCTCAGGCTCGCCGGTCGGAGGGGAACTTTCCTTTATTCATCGATAGTCAAGAGGCGGGTGGAGCCGAGCTGGGCGCAGGGCAGGTGGTCAGTAACTGACACACGAGTGAAGGGATGCGCGTAACTAACATCTCCTGTGGACCTACCTCGTGCTTTACCATGTTTATCATGTAACCCTCCCGGAAGCCCCGCAGGCACCGCTGTCCTCTAGACCATCGCAGCCCTGGGATCGGACTAGGAGAGGCTGTGGGACTGGGCTGTGGGCCAGCGTCAGGAATCTAGAATCAGCGGAGCCAGGACTCGAATCCATGTCCTCACACTTCAAGCCCTGTGCTCTTCACCCCCCCGCCCCCCGGCCCCCGGTGTTGCTACGTGCTGTTGAGTCCCGGGGCCTGTGAGTGACGTGTCCACGGGTCCTGTCCTCACAGCCCTGCTCAGCTCCCATGGACTCAGCCTGTGCCTTCTCTTCGGGATCAGTCCATCCCATGTTTGTCTCCTCTCTCCCTGCCGCCTTCCATTCCCCAGCATCATTGTCTTTTCCAAAGAACCCTGATGTGCCCCAAGTAGGACAGCTTCGGCTTTGTCATTTTTGCCTCCAGCGACGATTCAGGCTTAACTGGCTCTAGGACCCACGTGTTCATCTTCCTGACGGTCTCCACAGAGCTCTCCTCCCACCTCGCTCTCAGATGGACCCACTGTTTCCTATCAGCCTCCTTCAGGGTCTAACGTCCACCTCTGTGCACAGGACCTGGAAGACCAGGGGGTGGATGGTGTTGGCCTTGGTCTCTACGGCACCTCTTTGCTCTTGGTGACCTCTCCTAATTCTCCCGTTGCTGCCCTGCCACGCTGCAGCCTTGTCGTGACTTCTTGGCTGCGGCCTCCACGTGAATTGAAGACCGAACCGAGGCGAGCACAATCTGTAACAGTTTCTCCCTCTTCATTCTGTTAAGGCTGCATATTGTTTTTGTAGCCATGATTCTGACAGAAATGCAAACAAAACAATGTGTCTTTTAAGACAGGACATGAAGTCTGATGCTGACTCTTCTCTCTAACTCCCCTCTTCTCGCCCTCCTGCAGAAGCGGAGCCAGATGCCAGGGAGCCAAAGTGCAGAATATTCACAACACAGAACACAGCGTGGGCGTCGGCGCTGAGACCTTGTCAGAGGCTGCACGTCACGGGTGTGGATGCAGAAGTCTCCGTGTGACACGCGGCTGTGAATATGCCTCTCACCCTCTCGGCGTAAGAACGACAGAAACATTGTTTCCTTGCTAATTATTATTAGGGTGCAGCCGTTCTAAGGCTGGGAGTTTAGAGAGGCTCATCCCCAGCCCCCAGCTGGACGGAGTGTTTGCTAACTCCCCAGCCAGCTACTGAGGGGCGCCGTCAATCACAATGGCGGGAGCAGTGAGCAGAAGCGAAAGCAGGAGAGGACTCGGGCGCCCTCCGAAAGCGACCTGTCAGTCACTGCGATGGGAAATGGCATCAGTCAAATCTTGACGCTCAGCCCGTCAACAGATATTTATCGAGGGCCCGTGACTCAAAGGGC